TCGGATGAGATTGGTCAAAAGAGATGACCGACACTCGAAATTAAAGCGCGAGGCTGATCAAACGATGTTGGATCAACAAACGGACTTCGTCATTGTGTTCAGAACATTACAAATACTCAAAAATTGTATTTTATTTGTTCAATTTGGATCATCCTAATGAGTTACATGAATTTCGAGACAACGCGTACTTCGAGCAAATCAGGCCTCGACGTCGCTTAGATGATGTCCGATCATGAAACGGACTATGCCAATGCGTTCGGAACGTCCTCGACATTCAAAATATACATCTTTTATGAATAATTGGGATCAATCATAATGGTGATATGGATCCCAAGGTAATAACACGCATATCGAGGAATTTGGCCCTCGATGTCGCCCAAACAATTTCAGATCGACAAACGGACAGTGTCATTGCATCTGAAATATCGTCTACATTCAGAATATATATTTCATTTAATGAATATGGATCATCCGAGATGGTGACGAATTTCTAGGCGATGCAAATATGATATAAAGGTCTGCGTTACGAAGGAAACGAGGCCTCGAAAATGCTCTAACGACGTCCGATCGACAAACGGACAGCCCCATTGCGTCCAGAACGTCGTCGACATTAAGAATACACATTTTATTTAATAAATTTGTATTATCTGAGATGATGGCGAATTTCTAAGCAATTCAAATATGATATAAAGCCCTACGTTACGACGGAAACAAGGCCTCAAAGATGCTCGGACGACGTCCGATAGACAAACGGACAACGCCATTACGTCCGGAACGTCGTCGACATTCCAGATATATATTTTATTTAATAAATTTGGATCATCCGAGATGGTGGTGAATTTTTTAGGCGATGCAAATATGATATAAAGGCCTGCGTTACGACGGAAACGAAGCCTCAAAGACGCTCGGATGACGTCCGATCGACAAACGGACAATGCCATTGCGTCCAGAACATCGTCTGCATTAAGAATCTATATTTTATTTGATCAATTTGGATTGTTTTAAGTGGTGTCGCAAATTTTGAAAGCGATTCAATTATGTTGCGAAGGCACACATTGCGAGGGAAATTAGTCTCGTCGGTGGCGAAATGATCTCCGATCGATGAACGGACTTCGCCACTGTGTTCGGAATGCCGTTAGTGCTTTAAATTGATTGTCAATTTGTCCAAAATAAAATTATGCTGTGACCGATGAGGGTCCTAATACAGCAATGCGCATTTCAAGGGAATTAAACTTTGGCATCGCCCAAACGAAGTACGATCGCGAAACGGGCTGCGCCATTGCAACCGGGATATCGTCAATACCCTAAATCTACTATCAATTTGTCTAATTTTGATGTTCGATGAATTTGACACGCAAAACGAAGCATATTGCACGAATTTTGAGGCAATTGCGCACTTTTTCAAGGAAACAGGATTCAAAGCATCTTTCTTTTGAATCCAGCAAACAATTGCTATTTTGAATTGATATTAATATTAATAATATTATTAATATTAATATTAATATTAATTTAATAAAAATTAGATCAAATCAAATGAAACGTCAAAATCTAATTAATCTTACCTCGTATCTCTTCGGATTTTCTGCTCTGAACCACTGCAAAATCCCGCAAATCCCGTTTATTGCCTCGAGTGAAATGCTTATGCTGGCTTAAGACATCGTTGCTTAAGACTATTCTGATTCACAAAAAAAAAAAAGGGCTCCTGAGCCTTTTTGTCAGAATTTCTCCACGAAAAGCCAAAGCTCCCTCTAGTCCGTCCCGTATTCTCCTCCCCAGTCTGCTCTGTCTCCAACTTCATAAGTCCTCACAGCTTCCACACTTCACGAGCTCAAGTCCTCTTCTCTACGAACTCCACCTTCTTCTTCAACAGCAGCCGCGGCCCTCAACAGGCCGGAATTTCCTTTACTCAAGCCAGACGTCAATCCTCCCGTCTGCACCGTTCCTACAGCCAAATCTCTGCTTGTTTCTTCTCCACACAACTTGCTTCGTCCAATCTCCAGCAACTGAAGTCTTCCCACGTGAAAGCTCCCCACTTCTAGTGTACTTCAGGGATCTCCTTCCTCCTCTCAGACTCACGGCTTAACAGAGAAGGGAGACCTCTCTCTACTCTCATTTGATTCCAAGAGAAAGGTAGTAGAATATGGTTTTAAAGCCTTATCTTTCTTAATCTTTTCAAGTGAAATCCTATATCCAGCACCCACTTGGTCAGATTCCCTCCATTTAGCAAGCAAATCTCTTGCTAGCTTTACCTGTACCTCATGGCCAGCTCTATGTTTAAACCTTTGCCAATCAGCCCTTTGTTTAACTACATCCCAACTCCGACGACCATGCAAAGACCCACCTGCAGCCGCTGAGCTCAGCCCTGCTCATTTTTCACATAAACAGTAGGCTTTTGAGGCATGCTTAGATGATTGGAAAATATGGTCTTGATAAGGAATTCCATAGATTAAAACATGACAAGTGCTTGTTGATGTTAGAAGTCATAAAGAAGGAAAGATCAACAGAACTCAAAAGCTTGGCTTCAAGTCATGGCAAATAGGCTAAAAGGAATAGAGTTGATGCAACAGTAACGATTTTCTATTCTTAGTAATCATTATGTTTATTTTAGTTGATGTAATCAGTTCTTATATGTGGCTAATCATATTTACTGTTGTTAACTATTGCTATTAGTTGCTAACATTGATATCAATATTAATATTAGTATTAAATGTTAATACTAATATGAGTATTAACTATTGATATCATTGTTGATTTCACTACAGCTATCAACAGTAAATATTGAGATAAAATTCAAATGTGTATATAATAGAAAGAATGGAGAAGAATGAAGTGGGAGGAAGGAGAAGAGATGTACATATATGTAGATGTATTTATACACTTGTATGTATAAATGTGTGTGTATGTAAGGTAAGCCAAAAGAAGGAAATACAAAAAAAAAAAAGAAGGAAGAGATTTAAAAAAAAAAAGAAGAAGAAAAAAAAAGAAAGAGAAAGAAGAAGGGAAATTTGTTGTATTTTGTGCATCTCGACACCGCCGCAACCCCGCGAAGGTACGGATTTTCTAAACTCAGATTTCCGCTTCCGTTGTATGCGGCGGACCGGAAAACCGTCTATACACGCCTTTATTGCGCGTGGTGGGATGGGACCCCGGTCCGACGCCTACGACAAGGCGGGAATCGCCTAAACTCTACTTCGGTGTTCGTGGGACCCAACTCAGACTGCAGGGGGCTCGAACGAATAGAAGAGACTCATTTTGTGTCTGAACTGTACTTTGACCAATACTTGAACGAATGCAAATAGAAGACTCTAACTAAAGTGATAAGAGACTGGACTTTCAAGACTACTAGAATTTGAAACTCATCCATGTCTTGAATATAAAATCAGACTCAAATCAAACTCAAGCAAATGACATCAAGTCGAACCAAAGACTTGAACTCTGAGTTTAGACTTGAACTCATGCTATACAACATTAAGTGGGACTTGTAGACTTGATGAATTCAAGCCTGAATCATGTGCAAGGAAACTCAAACTACAAGAGCATTCGTATGATCAACAGTGACTCAAAATGCGCTACAAGACCTTGATGCACAAACTCCTATGGCAACCCCTACAATGCCTGTTGATTGAGATGGCAATACTGGAGACCAGCAATCAAAGACCTGTCCTCTACAAATAAATACAATCATCAACCCACCCGAGATTGGTGAAAGGGTGGATTCGATGCAGAAACAATGGGGCTTCTACAAAATACTTCCAGGAGGTCGTCGTAGAAGACATGTATCCCCTGCAAATAAAGAGGTCAATGAATGAAGGTCATTCATTAAAATCCCGAATAGAAGTGAAATGTCGAGTTGACATACAAACTCTCAATGACACCAAGAGGCTACATACAAGAAACAAGATATCCACAAGCAAAATGCCAATTGATTACAACAAGTGAAAGTTCCTACGATCCAAAAGGCAGGAGGCTTGTTAGTGCACTGGCTCTATAGTTAAGTCACATCTTTCACAAACTTCTTATTAGTTTCAAATAAGTTGAACTTGCAAGTCCTTTGGCCTCGAAGATGGTCTACACTACCAGTTGAACTTGAGGTAGTTTCACGTCATTACTTGCATGTATGTCTTCATATCCTCCATAATTCTTGTCAATATTTGCTTACAAAGTTCATTCTCACCATGCCCATTTGAGTTTGAGTCCAAGAGTCATCTGTTTGTTCGAATTGCGAGTTCATATTCACTGGAGTTCATTTTGCTCACTCAAGTTCAAGTTCAAATCAAGTTTAACTTTGAAAGTCATTATAAGATTGAATTCCGAGTTCTTAATGCATTTTGTTCAAGTTTGGATTTAATTCATTTGAGTTCATCTTAGTTCAAGTTCACAGGTCCCCTGTTGTCCTTTGTTTAGTTCAAGTTCAAGTACGGCCTCATGTTCACCTAAAATTTCGACAGCCTCATGGTATCTCTTCTGTTTAGGAGAAACTACAGGAAACTGGGCCTCCCATCAAGCTAGAGAAAAGCATGTACGGTAGGTGTCATTAGACACCGCGGCCGTGAAATCTTCAAATATGTTACTATGATTGGAACGGTATCAAGTAATGATTTAGCAGAAATCATATTATATATTATTTGTTTTATTCTCTTTTGGCTGTAGCTTGGGTCAACAAGCTTGTCTTGCACTTATTTCATTAAAGCTCAAAACATGTCTGTTATCAATTTTTACTTGAGTTCCTGTGCATGAAATATTATAGGTAATTTTGGACAATCCTACTGAAACTCAGTTTTTTTTTTAATCTTTGACGAAAGTACTGATTAAACCTTCTCAAGATAAGTTCAGATATTGAATATAACAAAATAAACAATCTTGTTCAGACTCATTTAGGATTCCCAATTTTAAAATAAATACATGCTAAATCTAGATTCTAAAATCAGTGCTTACAATGTGAGTTTATTTTTTGATTACTAAGGTTACAAAGTGGTGAGGTACTTTGATTCAACCTTCAGGTACAACATCCCAGAACTGGCAAAGAAGTATAAGGTTTATGCGTTAGATTTGCTTGGATTTGGATGGAGCGAGAAAGCAATCATTGAGTACGATGCAACTATCTGGAAGGACCAGGTGGCTGATTTCATGAAGGATATTGTTAAAGAACCTGCAATTTTAGTCGGGAATAGGTACTGGCAACCTTGTTATTACTGCTTTTTCGTCATATTTAGCTATATAGAATTACGGTTGCTTTCTGAGACAAATTTTCAACCCTCTTCGCTCATACCAAGTCATAGTGAGTTAAGAAATTGTTCTTCGCTAACCATAGTGTTTAAACTGGCAAATGCTTATAATTTTATGTAATGTAAAAATGACGTATGTATGATTTCATTATCTACATGGTATTCATTAATCTTCTCTAAGGGTGCGCTTATTATCTTTATACTTTCCAACCTCATATATATTTTTTTTTTAACTTAGACTGCTTCTAAACGGTAATTTTATATTACATTTTCATTGAATTTCAAAATTTTCTGTGCACTTCTATAATATGAGTTTGTCATGCATTCCCTTTTAAAGGAGAGCAGCTACTTTTAATATTGATTGTTAAAAACTGATATTTGGCTGATAAAAAATCTCCAGTCTTGGAGGATTCACGGCTTTGTTTACAGCATCAGAGTTGCCTCAGCTTGTTCGTGGTTTAGTACTCCTGAACACTGCTGGCCAATTTAGAGACTCGAACTTAAAGCCTGTCATCAACAATGAAGAGTCAGCCATAAATAAATATGTAGTCAACCCCGTGAAGCAGGCGTTCCAAAGAGTCTTTCTTCGCATTCTATTTTGGCAAGCAAAGCAGCCTTCTAGAGTCAAATCAGTGTTGCAAAGTGTATGGTACTCTCTAAACTACAATAATCGCACAAATCTTTTAGCAAAGTCACGGCATAAGTTGGTTGTGCTTTCTATTTCAAGTATGAGGATGACATATTTTCATTTCATTTTTTTTCAGAGTGCAGATTCTCAGCATATTTCATGGTTATTGCATGTACATTTGTGGCATCGCAACCATCCAATTTATTTTCGTTTGTTAAGATTGAATCCATAAACTATTTTCCAAATTATTCTAGCTTTTCTGGATTCAACTATTGCCATCCAATGTGAATTGGATGGCTGGAATGCCATATTTGCATCTCTATAGTCACCATGGTAACTGTAGATGATCTATACTCTCCAGTCCATGCATATCTTAAATATCCAGAAGTTTACTATCCTATTTTCAGTTTACAGAAACCTTGGTTTTTGTCCTGTTAAACAAATTCCATTCCTGTATAGATAACCATGTTTCATCCTGTATGAATTTGATTTCCTATTGGTATTTATTCTGAATGTATCCAGGTCTATATAAACACCTCCAATGTAGATGATTATCTTGTGGAATCCATTACCAGACCTGCAGGAGATCCAAATGCAGGAGAAGTGTATTATCGGTAATTAAAGTGCTATAGTTTCCGTCTTTTCCGCTTGGAAAGAAAATTGATGGATATGGAAAACATGGATGTTGATTATTTTTGTAGGTTGATGACAAGATTTATGATTGACCAGAGCAATTACACGCTTGATAGCATACTGCAGAAGTTGTCATGCCCACTGCTGCTACTATGGGGTGATCTGGACCCCTGGGTACGGCCTGCAAAAGCAGTCAGAATTAAAGAGTTTTATCCAAACACGAGCATCGTAAACTTGAAAGCGGGTCATTGCCCTCATGATGAGGTGCCTGAGCTCGTCAACAATGCACTTATAGATTGGCTAACTTCTTTGGATCACGAAGCTAGCTTCTGACCAGTAGTTTTAGATCTCTCATTCATAGTTTACTTAGTTGATGCAGTCTTCAGATTTTACAGTGGATTATCATGAGAGATTCAATCGACAGTTTGCTATTAGTCATTTTATCTGTGTACAAAACAATTTTATACTTTTATTTGACTTGCATATACGCTCTCTCGTCTATAGCTTGAAGATTTATGAGCATTCAAAACATCAAATCGTCATTATGATGGGCATGTGGGAGGTTATGATTTAAAATCTTGCACATGGCAAAGATAATTTTAAATTGGAAAGCTCCTGAGAATGGAACAGATTTGGCTATCCATGCCTTGTAGTGATCAGAGTAAAAATGTAGAGGGTTTACCTATGACTTGTTTAGGATAAAAATAATGAAGTGATAAAAGGAAATTAAGTATTCGAAATTTGATCTCATGCTTAAGCTTGTATTTTCATATATGCTCATATATGTAACTCAAAGGTATCTAAACAGTCTTGTTATGGAGCTTGGTCATAGGAAATATGTGCTCACCACAATGCTTGTCCTGAGGAAACCATGTCCCGAGAGCTTGCTTCAATCCACAAGTAAATGGGAATTCATTTTATAAATCTTGTGGCATAGGAACTCGCATCCAGATGATTGGACTAAAGATGTGCTCATTACTGAGGAGTTCGTATGGTAGACTTTCTTAGACAAGTCTTCAGCTATAGGGGCACTAACCTTGTGAGAGCTTCACCTATAGGCGCACTCTCCTTGTGGGAGCTTGCTCTCCCCATAATAATTGTCCACAACCAAAGCCATTTAACTTTTAAGGATATCCTAATTCAAACTATAGGAAGCATACACTTATTGAACCTACGATCATGACTGTTAATAGTATTTGTCCTTGGATTGCAGTCAGATTTTGCACAAGAGACATGTTCATGTCTAGGGAGTTGCAATATTTCCCTGGTTACTCATCTACTAGGTAGAATTTTTGCAGATTTTGACTCTTTAAGACTTGACCCCTATACCTCAAACAACACAAGAAAGGATGCAAACTGGTGAATAAAGCGATACGGGCCTTAACGCCACATGTCACTTGAAGGGTCAAACGACCTCTGATTGCCAAACGGACGGTGTCGTTGCGGTTAGGACGTCGAATTCTGCTAGGTCGAGTCCCCTCGCAGTTGAATAAGATGAGATTGGTCAAAAGGGGCGACTATCGCCCGAAATTAAAGTGCGAGGCTAATCAAACAATGTCGGATTGACGAACAGGCTTTGTCGTTGCGTCCGAAATGTTGTTAACCTCTAAAAATCATATTTTGTTTGTTCAAATTGAAGCATTCGAATGCGTGACATGAATTTCGAGATAAAACATGCATATCAAGGAGAATAGGTCTTGTCACTACCCAAACGAAGTCTGGTCGCGAAATGGACTTCGCCTTTACATTTAAAACATCGTAAATGCCCAAGGATTACAGCCAATTTGTTTAAATTAAAGTATGCGATTAGATCGGCACGCATCCCGAGACAACACGAATTTTAAAGAAAAATTCGCTCGGCGCTACCCAAATGACGTTGGATCGACGAACGAACATCATCGGTGCATTCAAAATACCGTCAATACTCTAAATATATTGTCATTTTATTCAATTGTGGGCTCCGAAAATTCGGCCCCGGCCTCCGCCCGCATGCTTTTCTTTTTTGGCGAGGGAGTTTTAACTGAATAAGTTCCGAGGTAAATTTTGGAAGGCATATGTGTTTGTAGATAAGACACTACCCAGAGATTTCTCCCTCATGTTGCGAGGACTTTATGATCTGAGTTCTGGTTTCCTATAGGCGCAAGCCCCTATAGTTAATTACCCCTCTCGATAACGAGAGAGAACTTTCGATTAAGGCTAATCGTCAATCAGATACGTATAGAACACGTGTTATCTGACATATAGTAGCAGCAATGGATTGGATTTGGAAATTGGGTTTGAATAATTTGGGTATTTAGAAAGATTTGAAAAGTTTGATATTTAAAATAGGAAATTTCACCATCTAGCACTTAAAGCGGATGGTGGGGGAATAGATGATGGGTCAAATCAAGATCTCATGGTTCCGTCATCCTGGGTCATCGTGGTCCCTGGTCTACTTAGTCAGAGGAGGTAGTCGACCCAACCTGACAGAAGGATCCTTGTCGGCAGCCATGGGTTGCTTCGTCCAAGGGGACCTTGTAGACCGGGGTTGAGTGTTTGTCTAAGGGGATAAATTTGAATCCACCTTAGCTTACAAAGGGCTTTGTGCCCTATCGATCATATCCTATTGATTCATATCTCAAGGATTTAACGCCATTAAGGAGCGTATTGGCTCTGGCCATAACTGCTATCTGTGGTGCCATTTGGCGGCAAAACCACTCGGTTCAGAGGGCCCCGGGTCATAACCGTTTACCTGCAGTGCCATTTGGCGGCGAAACTGTCGGTTAGAGGACACGTACCACGTTCTTACTGGCAAGAGATTGTTTGAGAATGGATCATAGTGATATTTTCGACTAGGCATTTGGCTCTTTTGTGAGCTGAAATAAATTTGATTTGTCCACCCCGGCAAACTGTTGCGGAGGGTGGATGGATTTTGCTTTAAGTGTTTAATGGATTTATTTCAATTTTAAATATTTGGGATTTTGGGATTTTGAGATTTTGGATTTTGTGGAGTTTTGGGTATTTTGGTGGAATTTTGAGTACTTGGTATGGACATTTGGGTGAAATTTTGAGAAATATTTGTGAAACCCCTCCGGTTGAGATAATTATTCAACACGGCCATCATCGGGGTGTTTGGGGGTCATTTCTCTTTATGGATCGAACCTTGTCAACTCTATCGGGCTGTCGACAGAGGATTGGATTTCGTAGGCTTTATGCCCTCATCAGTGAATTCTCTTTGTTATAGGCCTTAAAGGCCTAATATGAATGTATTAAGACAAATATACCGGTCGTATTAACTGTATATTTATTTGAGAGTTCGAACCTTGTCGACTCCTATTGACCCATATAGGAGGATCGGGTTCGAACTAGAATTCACTTGTCAACCCGCGCAGCATCCCTAGACGTCCGTGTGTACCAATAACACGCTCGCCGGGGCCCATGCCAGTTGAGATTGTATTTTCCCCTTTTAGTGTACCTATGTGTATACAAATTATAGTGCACGTGCAGAGGTATTCTTGGAATAGACGCCTTATGTCTGCTTATATGAATGTTGCAGATCTGGTGGCGTGGCGTAGAAGCTTCTAAATGGAGTTGTTCGTTGCTTCGTACAGGTAGATTGTTGTTCACTACTCGTTGTTTTCTGCAGGTAGATCATAGTGTACCAACTAATCTCCTGCCTTTGGTCGTAGGAGCTTACACTTATTGTGGTCTTTTGACATTCAACTCGTATATGACATTTAATACATATGATGGGTCCTCCACGACGGTCTGTAAATGGTTGTACTTGCTACAATTTGACTATCTTTGTTCGTGGAAAATTGCTGCATTTGATCAGCACTGAATTGTTATTGATTGTAGGAGTGTCATTGTTCTTGCATCCTACCTTTCATCGATCTCAGGTGGTCTGATGTATTTGCACTTGTTGTAGAGACGGATCTTTGACTACAACAAATGGATAGTACTCGTACACCTTGCAATTGTTCGTTGCTTGTCACTAGTATTGTGCATTGACTTTGTAGGGACTATTATATGAATGAGGACTCTCCTACATTTCCTTTTGGACAAAATATTAGTTGCACGACATAATGAGCTTTTGTAGTAACTCGTAGGAGTTCGTCTTTGGCACAATTCTTTTGTATTTGTCTATGAGTGGTATGTTGAGTGTATGGTGGATCTACTATAATGACTTGTATATATCCACACTTGATGTATGTTCTCCACCCTTTCTTACAACGAATCGGTATATTTTTGCTTGTGAGTATCACCATGTTCATTCGCTGATTGATGATGACCGTAGGATAATACATCTTTTAGGATCTCCTTTGTATTTATTGCAGTCCTTTATGCATTTCTCCTTATAAATGACATGTAGTGTGGATAGTAGACTTATATAATTGATATTTGCTTGTAATCAGCATCACATGAAAGTCCAAATCAAGCTTGTATTTATTTCATTTGAGTTTTAGTTCTTTTATGTCAATTTGGTCCAATCAAGTTCACAAGTCCGTTGTCAACTTATCCAAGTCTTTGTTCAAATTCAAAAGTCCACATCAAAGTCCCATGTGGTCTTTATAGAGTTCAAGTTCGATTGAAGTTCAAGTTTAAGTGCAGTTCTGCCTGAGTTCAACTCAAGTCATCTGTTGCTCTTCTGATTTGAGTTCAAGTTTGATTTTGAGTTCACTTTACGCCTTCTTGCACATTTTTTTATTTTGGGTTCAATTATTTATTAAGTCATTTAGCTTTGTCCAAAAGTCCGGGTACAAGTCTTTCGTCGTTCTTGCATGTCATCTGAGTGCAATCAAGTCCAAGTCCCAAATTGTTTTCTTGAGTTCAAATGAGATCTAAATGTAGCAATATTTCACCCGAAATTTCGGCAGCCTTCCGGCATCTCCCCCGTTTAGGGCAAAACTACGAAAAACTGGGCCTTTCCCACCACGCTAAGAAAAGTGTATATGGTAGATGCCCTCTTTCGAAAACACTAAGGCCGTGTAATTTTTTGATCCCCCACCACACTAAGAAAAGCATGTATGGGTATTTTAAAAAATATTTTGCAAGAAAAGTATTTTTTGAAAATATTTTGCAAGAAAGACAGTTATTTCCCCGCAAGCGGGAACTTATGGGTATCCCCGCTTCGTCGTACGCATCGCATCGGGATCCCTTCCCACCACGCTAAGAAAAGCGTGTATAGGCGGGTTTCCAAGGCGATACGGACTTCGAAGAAGGAATTTAGGTGATTACCCGCTTCGTCGCAAGCGTCGAGACGCACTCCCTCCCACCACGCTAAGAAAAGCGTGTATAGGTGGTCGTTGTCTCGACGAATGCATTGAAACTGGTTCTCGGAGTTTTAGGGTTAGAGAGTTTATACCTTCGGGGTCGGCGACGGAGGCTCGAGGATTGAGGGAGAGCGGTTTTTTTATATTCTTATAATTAATATTGATTAAATAATTATTTTTTTATTAATCATATATAAATAATTATAACTAATTAAAATAATTAACTAAAATTCATTAAAATTAATTAAAATGATAAGTCTCTCTCTCTCTCTCTCTCTCTCTTTCAGCCAAGGAAGGTTGGACGTCGGCTAGGGGTCGAAGGCAGGGAGGTGTTCGGGAGGAGGCTACAGGGACTTGACGGAAGAAAGCAAGGTTCGTCGGCTCTCT